AAATCTTTTTAAAATCAATTCGCCCCAAACAAGGCGACAATGCTATTAAGAACAAGGGGCTGCTGAGATTGAAAGTTAACGAAAAGATTTGAGAAGCAAGGGACAAGGGATAAACCTATACTCCTGTTCAAAAGATAGGAGAAGAGTGTGAACCGGAAGATAGGCGAACCTATCTACTCCTATTGAGAAGAAGAAAAACAGAAAATAATATCTCAGAGTTCAGACAGAGTTGTTAGAAGTATAGAGATAGATATATACAGGAAGCGGAATCCTAATCCTAAAGAAGAAAACAAACTTTTACTTCTGTTCAAAAGACAAGAGAAAGACAAATCTTTATTAACATATTCATAACCACTATTTAATGAAATATTAATTTTAAAAATAAAAATAAAAATCTCGTATTAATTAATAAAAATGTGTAGAACCAAACTAACAGCTAGATTTCACCAATATGCTCTTGAGTTGGCTAATCATAAACGTAAATTTCTGTTTACGCACTTCTCACTTGTGGAAATCTCTTCCGGCTCGATGTTTTCCAGCGAACTTTGATCTTAAAAAGTTTAAATGCATTGTCAATCACTCCTAGTTTCTCTTATTTTGTTCTAGTTCCTGAGTAAAGTTGTGTAACCCCTTGTGTCCTAGTGACTTTACTCCCTTGCTTAGGGTGAAATTGATAAAAAAATAATAAAAAAAAAATCAAGAGATATTTTAGATATATTACAAAAATTGTTCATTTATTCTCGTGTGGGCGGTTTTTGTTCGACAGAAAATAGATAGGACAAAGAAATATTTCTAAATGTTTCATATTTGCTACTTCACTAGGACAGGTGGCTGTGCAGTCCTTAACACACCGGTAGAAAATTTTTGACCTCGTCTCGGAATGTTACCGAGGGAAACATTAAAAAATAAATCAGTTTGATGGTGCACACTTGTATAAATTAATTGAAACAAAACGAATAATTCTGTTATTATTTACATATTTCTTCGTATTTTTCCAATGAAACATGACCCAGTGCACATATTAGTACATTGGATTTAAATCAGGAGAGTTTCCAAGCCAGTCTATATATCTCAGCCTTTTCATACTTTTTTCCTTCAAAAATGTATCGCTGGTAATAATATATATATATTTTTTCAAAAAAAATATAATACTGGTAATAGTTTTTTTTTCTTCAAAAAATTATTACTGGTAATAATTTTTTTACAAAGTATTTCTGGTATTAAAACCTATTTTTACACTTTTATAGTGTTTTTACCCCAGTTTCAGGGTTAACTATTTGCCCATAGCTGACCCTAACAGGTGTTACCACCCCAGTTTAGGGTAGACCTGGGAACACCAGCAATTAAGAGGTGGTTCCACGCTCCTCCTGATCAGAGGCCTTGCTGCTGGACGTAGTTTATCGTCTTACCCAGGACGCGGATGTAGTTTATCGTCATACCCAGGACGCAAGTTTAGTATTGGAGACTTAAGAATTAACAAGGCAACGTTTTCCCGAGGTAATCAAAGGAGGAAATCGATTTGGACATCGGCTGCAATTATGACCTTGTCGGAATGAGCATCCTTATTGTCGAGGCAGGAGTAAATGGCTGTGTCGTCAGCGTAGAAACCAAGTGGAGGCTGATGTCATCGAGAATGTCATTAACGAGAATTAAAAACAGAATATGACAAAGGATGAAGCCTTAAGGGATACCCATGTTAGTAAAAGAAGGATCTAGACGTGTGACCGTTCAGGATAACTTTCATTTCACGATTTGCGAGGAACGAAACTTAGCATTGAACTTACAGTCACATCTAGCCATTTCAACTGTAAACGATCTTGATGCCAGCCTAGGTTCAAAGAGGAAAGATCATTAGCACAATTACCATGAAAGTATTTATAGAAAAGGCATGGAGAAATTACGATATGGCGGTGGGAATGTGACTGAAGCCGTGATGCCAGGCCAGGACCTATACAATTGCGGATTATTGTTATTATATTCCTATTAGAGCACACCTGCTTGATAATTAATGCCCTGGTTAGTTTTCTTCTCAATGAGTACCCTCTAACGGTGGCCTTGTACTAAACTAAGCTTAGTTTAATAAATAAGTATAGTCGCCTGTAATCGATTTAATAATGTTTCCCGAATTTATCTGGCTGATTATTATTAATAATTAGTGACGTCAATCCTCACTGGATTCCATAAATTTGTAGACTTGTGCTAATATTAGCGGAGATTAGTAACTTTATAGTCGTATCATGAACAAATCATTTATTTTGTACAATATACCCTTATTTTTCAGCGACTGTTCATTAAGTCTTAATGTAATTAAGCCTCCATCATTCAAAAAATCGTGCAGATCGTCCAGATGATACAAATAGCTGATGTTTCAGATGGTAGACGAAGGGAGGAAACTGCAGAAATTCCTAGACAAAGCAATAAATGAAAGAGTGAAGAAAGGACTAATTGTACCGTGAAAAAAAGTCAAAATGCATGGTTGTTCCCTTATCCTCTGATACAACCCAGGAAAAATGGTTTGGAGAATTTTACACTCATAGAATATATAAAAGCCTAGTGAGTTAGAGGTAAACGGTGAATAATATATAATGATAGGAACTAGTGGAGAGCCATGATCGCCATAGTCCAGGAGGGACATGAAACATAGTAGATGAAGAACAGTTGAAGAATTCTGTCAATACATGTCAGGACTTATTGATTCACCAACGTAAATTTTGACGTTGCATAATAAGTGGTGAGTTTCTTGTCTAACTGGGAAAGTGCAAATTGATTGAAACAAAATGAATAATTCTGTTATTAGTTACGTTTTTTTTTCTTATTTTTCTAATGAAACATGACCCAGTGCACATGTTAGTACTTCGCATGTTCATTTCACGAAGTCTTTCCTTGCAGATTGAACACAGATTCTTAATTGGATTTAAATTAGGAGAGTTTCCGAGCCAGTCGATAGTACTTTGATTTGCTCAATGGTAAGGCTTGCCATTGTGTTCGTGCAGCGTTACAATTTTCGCGCGTTTCCTTGGAGTAACGTTAATCGCAGACAATGGACCTAGGACAACTAATCGACAATCGAGAAAATAGTGTCTGGGCATGAAAATAGATTCATATTACTGCACTCTACTACAAATGACCTAATCTGGGGAAAAAATAGAAATCGATTACACTCTGTCACTCCATTGGGTCTAAAACTGATCATATGGTGAAAGAAAGAAAATTAAAACGGTCGTTTCAATTAATTTTCACAAGGGTGTACGCCTTTTGATTTAACCTATATAGCCAGACGATATATTATCGCCGGATATGACCTTAACAATACCAGATGTTCTTATGACACTGTGTTAATGACAGACCCTTATAGATAAGGGAAATAATTTTTTTGGTAAGGCAGATCTATGTTATTAACGGTAAAAGATTCGCCAACAAATGACATACACCAACATTTCAGAGATATTAAAATCAAGCATGTTACCCTGTGGGTGATTAATTATTACCGCCCACCTTCCCACAAACGAACCATCTCCACCCTGTTTCTACCCTGTCGCAATTTCCATCACAAATGTCCAGTCGAGTTTCATTCATGAGTTGCACCAGTTCAAAGCATTACAACTAGGACTTTTACAGCCATGTACACAGATTCGAATCATTGTAATTCCCTTTGTTTTCCGTTGATAAGAATGGAAGTCAAGTCAGACAGCTGCTTCCCTAGAACCACTACATTGTAGAACAATCCTCCTAGGGGATACTTTAATTATCACTCTAACCTTAACCTCTTCAAGTATAACAACTATCTATTATACATATCCTCATAACCTGTTCTCTCTATTCTTAATTAAATAAAAACAATTCATTTTGTAACCCTCTATCTTGAGAGTCTCTTGAAACTTGTAGTGGGTAGATATTTAGTGAGAAATATATACCAGACGACGGAAAATTTGATGCATAAAGACAAACATATACAGGAATTGCGACAGATGTCTTCCAGAAACAAAGTTCTAATACCAAGGAAAATTAATAAGGAAGAAAAAGTCTACTGAAATACTATGTGATATATAATCTCCTATACTGCAGTGCAAGTTCCTCATAAATGAAGAATCGTGAATAGATTAACAGTTTCTTCTCCTTCGCACTTCTCGCTTGTGGAATACCTCCTCCGACTTCTTGGTTTCCAGTCAAATTTGATTTTCAAAAAATCAAATACAATGTCAGTAGTTATCTTCTATCCAGATTATCTATGTCCATATTAGGCAAATTTGGATGTCTTTTTTAAACATTTCACCCAAAGCAATGCAATATAGTCACTAAGATGCAAGGAGTTACTGAGTGTTGGAAAATATGAGAGGAAAAATAAAACTTTATTAAGGAGTGAGAACAATAAATGAACAGCGAGAAGTGGGATAGAAGAAACTGTTAGCATAGAACTTACGGTTACATATGGCATCTCAACGGTAAAATGAAGAAGTCTAGTGTTGCGTTTAAATTCTTAAATCTAAGTACCAAAGAGAAAACCATATCAGAACAATTATATGAAAATATTTAGTACATAAGGCAGATTTCAGCTTTAAAATTCTTTAAGCCTATAATAATAATAATAATAATAATAATAATAGTCAATCAAAAACTTTAAAAAAATCTTTTTTTTATCTGCAGAAGATAAGATTGCTGTATTTTGGGAAGCATTCCCTCAGGAGTCTATTTCATAAGTGGCACCTGTTAAGAAAAAGCAGTCTGATTGGAACATTCTTCTTACAAATGGAACACATAGGAAATGAGTGTGACTCGATTCAGTAGAAGTGGCATGGTGGTCCGTAGCTGTAAAGGTCTGAACTGGTGAAATTAAAGTGTTAAATTTCATCTGAACATTTGTCATGGAAATAATGACAGTCTTCCAGCGTGGAAAGTAACATTTAAATGATCATTTACTGTGAGTTGGTGTCAAAATGGACATTGAATATTCAATAATAATCAAGTGGGTCCCTTTCGTAAAAATAAAAGGATAAACATACCTTGTGAATAAATTCAAAACACATTCGATACATACTCTTAACGTTCAAATCGAAGGAAAAATCCCACGTTTTTTCGTCACAATCGAGTATTGTTCCATGGTGCACGTAACTAAAAATAATTAAAAAATGTTTTTAACAGCTGTCTCTGCAACTCATAAGAATTCAGAGTTAGCGAACATTTATATAAACATTGGAAAAATGAGTTCAGTCTTTAAATATTTTTTTTTAAATATTGATCATGACACGATCATGACACGATGTTGTCAGCATATAAATCCTAGACAATTTCGTTGTGGGAAAATACGCTTTGTTACATTATTTCGTAAATGTATCGAAGTCTGACGTTCAACTTTCTTAAAAAGTAAAAGTAAAAGAGATGGGGAGGTAATTTAACATAATTCTAACTAAATAAAGAAATGAAGTATAAGAATGTATGGGAATAGTTTGAACAGCTTGTGGAAAGATTACAATGACACACCATAGAATGTCAAAAAACACTCGGTTGTCCAAAGACCGTATCGTCCAAACTATGATGAAAGAAGCCATGGTGGTTCCCACCACTGAGGTTTTCATTATGCTCGGCTGAAATAACTCATAGAGTAATGATAACAATTCATTTATGAAATTTAGCCTAGTAACAAGTCTAAAATTGTTTCGACCGGGACATGGAGATAACAACCAAAATGTTAAGAATATTAAGCTAAAAAAAATGGTGGACTTCTCTCAGAATGTGAGATAATTTCAAAAACTGAAGATTGGCCGAAAAATAGTGACAAATTCAGCTAGGGTGGGAATACATCTGTTGGGGGTTGCATAGTCACGAAAAGAAATACATTATATTCAAAGCAGATGAGAATGGCATCTCTGTTGCCTCTACTTTCTTTTTCGTCTGATAAGAAACTGTCCAGCGTTTTCTACTATAGAGCGAGATTGATATTACATAGATTCACAAATTATATAATTAAAAACAAAACGACACGGCACCACAAAGCCACGCATGAAGTGACGATATGTGGAAAAACGGAGATGACGAACACACTCCGTGTAAAGTCACAGCAAAGAAAACTACTAATGAAAATAGAACATATATATATATATATATATATATATATATATATATATATATATATATATATATAAGTCTTTTTCTGTTAAATGATCTATTCGGAAATACGAATTAAGTCTAAATTTTCTGAATATTTTCTTACGAAGTAAAGAATATTATTCACGGATAGGCAAAATAAAAACACCCAAGGCATAATATTATGCAAATTAAATTTCGTTAATTAAATATTCAAAACGATCTCCACGTGACTGATTAAAAACAGTACATTTATTTTAGATACCTATTGGGGTAGCAAAAAGAAATAAATCACTATAGTGGTACCATACACCACTCGAGCTAGTGTCTACTTCAATGTATACTACTGCTTGTATAGGTGCTTACCAGGTGACTCATCGAAGCAATTAGACTTATAGGGCAGACTGAAGTTTACCTCCATCGAGATATACTGATAAAAATTGAAAGGCTCATAATGCTAGGCTAAAAACTTTTAGAACAATCACAAGGAATTTTATCAGAATTTCAGACTATTCTAAAAGCCGAAGAACGTATCGACCGAAACACAGTGAAAAATACAGAAGAGGTGGGAATATATCTGTTGGGCTTGCAGAGTGACAAAAAGAAATACATTTCTAGAGATAACATTACCAGTCACGCTTGTGTCTGTTTCAGCCTAAACAGTAATGTGTATACGTGCTTAAGCGGTTACTGGTATCCTAAGGCTTATGTATATTATATTGTAAAATAAATATTTGTCTTGCATAGACATAACATTTGAAGACTTATTAAGAAAGACTAAACAGTTATTTGTGGAGAAGAAACGAAAGCAGGCGTCTCTTGTTGTTCAATAAAAAACGATAATAAAGTCGAGATAAAGTAAAATCTTAAAATAAAAAAAAGCGTCGCTAATTGCAACGTTGTTGTTTTGACATAAAATTCATAGCAATTGAGTTCAGGGAAACCAGATATGGCCGTCTTTATCGGTCAAGAATTTTCTCGATTAACACACCAAAAGAACACATAGCAACATACGCATATTCTGAAAGCCTATAACCAAAACTACAACAACAAACGGTTCCCATCCAATCACCGAAGTTAAGCAACATCGAGCCTGGTCAGTACCTAGATTGGAAAACAAAGAAGAGATAAAGAAAAAAAGAGATAGATGTATTTAATTAATATAGAGACATAAAATAAAGACAGGGAGGTGTGAGGTTTGTTCGACATACTGACCTCTTTATCAGTACTATCCGGCAAAAAGTGGAAAGTCCAATAGAAAAAAAATGTGTAAAGGTTCTTTTTTTTTTAAAGATGTAAGGAATTTATATATATATATATATATATATATATATATATATATATATATATATTAAATAATGTTGAACTAAGATGGGAATAATACAATAATACATTAATTTAAACAAGAATTAAATTGACTAAGTATATATAAAAAAATTTTAAAGAAATTATAAAAACCTGTGGTACTATATTTGGAGACTTATATATATATATATATATATATATATATATATATATATATATATATAGGTCTGATTTCTAAGAATATACTTAAAAAAATAACAATATCCATACTAGAAAAATACATTATCTTTGGAAGTTTTCCTCAGATATGATTAAATATATATATATAGCCTACTTTTCTTCACTTCGATTTAATCGATTTCTACGCCTCCATTTTTGAAAACCTATTAGAAAATAACTTAAATTTTGCCAAAAATTATGTTAATATTAATGATGACGAACAGAAGATCAGAATGGCTTCTAGACAGTCCATTTTGATATATAATGACATTCCATGAGTTAAGAAAATAATGAAAATTTTGACGTTCCTATGGGAGCTTATGACTCTACACAAATAGACGATTTAGTGTATTTATATATCTTCGATACACTAAGTCGATTTATTAACTCTAAAAATGTAGGCCTATACAGGGATGATGAACTCATTGTTATACCTATTAGCCTTGGTCCTCTTACCTCCAAGTTACATCCAAAGATCATTAAAGCTTTCCAATTTCTAGGATTTAAAATTGGTATATCATCTAATCTAAAAATTGACAATTTATTGAATCTTACATTCAGTCTCTCTAATAATACATTCAAATCCTTCCAAAAATGGAAACCAAACACTCATCTAGATCAATATCCGCTCGAACCACCCCAAATCAATTATAAACCAAATTCCCAACACCGTCAACACCAGAATAAACAAATTGTCTTCTAATTGTAAAATATTTAATGATAATAAATATAACTAGAAAAAAGCCCACAAGAAAAGTATGTTTCAACAAAAGGAAAGTTATATAGTTGAACCCACCCATTTGAAAACTATCCAATATTAATATTGATAAATTCTTTTAAAATTTAATAGACAAGCACATTAATAAAAATCCAGAAAAACTTTAAAAATGAGTTATTCATGTGTGAACAATGTACAAAAAATTATAAATTCACAAAATGATAACATTCTTACAAAATTTCTTAATAATCAATTACAAAAAAAAAAAAATCTACCTATGAATGTCCAGTGGATGGAATTTGTATGACCCAAAATATAGTGTATGAAACTACGATGTGAACCTGAAAAAGGTTTACAGTGGAATAACAGCTGGGAATTGGAAACAGCGTTTATACAATTATCGCGATTCCTTCAACAACGAATCCCTTAAACATCCAGCAGCGCTGTCTAAATAGGCTACTGACTGGGGTGATTATTTAGTGATTATTGAATGACTCTTGAGTGGAACTATCCAGTCGAAATAGCGTGAATTATTGCGCGTCGATATTTTGGGTTTTGATTTAGGATTTACTAGACGTTGAGCCGAGCCGCGCTACTAATAATTTATTCACTGAAATGGTTAATTATCTTTGGCTGACTTTTTACTTTTTGTTCTCGTTAAGTATTTATTTGTGATTGTAATTAAATACTGTTTTATTTTAATATTGAAGTCTTGAGATATACTTAATTATTAACAGCCACCGTATGTCACAATATATATATATATATATATATATATATATATATATATATATATATATATATATATGTGTGTGTGTGTGTGTGTGTGTGTTTCCCTCTGGGTATGTATGTGTGTGCGATAGTTGATTACAATAGATTCAATAACTTACCCAGCGCAGTTAAAAAGAATATCAACATGTTCAATGTTTTCCAGAAATGATTTAATTTCACTGGCATTTGTTACATCCAAAACTGAAGTTTTTATTCCTGCAAAAGAAAAGACAGGTTTGTATGATTTTTGCCATAGACGGAAATATTTTATTATGATACTTACCGAGACTTGCATAATATTATTCACCCAATCTAAGGCACAAGATCCACTAAATGTAGAGGTTATGTTTTGGATTACAAGGACAGAGTAAGAAGTACATTTCATGAGGATATGTAGGATAGATTACGATTGATCCTTGACACGAAGAGGTTAAAAGTGTAGTGATACGGGATGCTCCTTTTCTCTGGTCTCTTCCGCAACGTAACCGTTTTCATGAAGAATCTTTAGAAGAAATTTTCCGTTATCCAAGGAATAGAAAGCAAATGACGATGAGTCGATTTCGTGTGCGTGGCATGGCAGTTTCTAGATTCGAATATCTGAAACTGAGGAATCTAGTCGGGTAGATTTTTCTTTTTTGAAATCCGTCAAGAGTGGATTGGGCTGCTTCAAACCAGACTTGGCCGTAATATGTCAATGCCTGTCTGATTTGGCTCTTGTAAGGATAGATTATTGTAGAAATGTTCTTTCTAGAGCGGAACAGGGCATCAACCTTTTTCCAAGCATGTTTAAAGATGTATCGTCACCAATCACCAGAATTCTTGAGATGTCCTGAATTGATTGTACCAAGTAGAATGAATCATTGCGTCTATTCAGGTTAACGTTTTCCTCTGTCATGAAGTGGAAAGATTATATTAAATAAAATGCGAGGTTTGCTGCTGGGAAAGTCGATTCACTGTGTCGTGCGAGAGAATTTTTCTTGCGAGAATCTATCTTGAACACTCTGTAATATTATTGGTTTTCATATCTCAGTTTGAGTCACTTTCGCACCGCTATGTCTATTATATATATATCTTCCTTCCTATTTGGTACTTAGACTTTAAGAATTTAAACCCAGTCCTAAATTGACAGATCTCAACATTTTAAATTTGAAATGTATAGATATAACCGTAAGTTCTATGTTAACAGTTTCTTCTGTTGTACTCTTGTGGAACTCTCTACTGGATTTTTGCTTTCCTGTCAACTTTGGACTTCAAACATTTAACTTCAATGTCAGTCGTTATCTTCTGTCTTCTTAATTCCTGTTTTTATTGTTCGCTGTAATTAATGTTTGTTCTTCATATATTTTATTATTTGCTGGTAACATTTTGCCTATTAGAATTTATTATTGGCGAACACAATCTTAACACAAGATATACAGATGACACATTGTTGTTAGCAGACAGCACGGAAACGAAAAGATATCCTACAGAAGATATTAAAGGAAAGTGAGAAGACAGGATTAACCATCAACTGTAAGAAATGGGATGTATGGTTTTGATTAATAGAAATATCCCAAGATACAAACTACAAATTAGATGCATCAAATCAAGCAATTACAAAAACTGAAATATATCGAAAAAATATAACCCTGAAACACGAACGTACATTGGAATAGAATACGATACCTTCTAAAGGTAATGTAAAGTATCAAAAACATAAAAATTAAGTTAGAAACGAATAGATATAAATATTAAAAATAAATATTAAAAATAAATAATAAAAATTTGATTAACAAGAATATCCCGAGACGGGGAAATGCAAAATCTGACCCTGAAACTTGAACGTACATTGGAATAGCATACGATACATTCTAAAGGTAATGTAAAGTATCAAAAACATAAAAATTAAGTTAGAAACGAATAGATATAAATATTAAAAATAAATATTAAAAATAAATATTTAAAATAAATAATAAAAATTTGATTAACAAGAATATCCCGAGACGGGGAAATGCAAAATCTGACCCTGAAACTTGAACGTACATTGGAATAGCATACGATACATTCTAAAGGTAATGTAAAGTATCAAAAACATAAAAATTAAGTTAGAAACGAATAGATATAAATATTAAAAATAAATATTAAAAATAAATATTAAAAATAAATAATAAAAATTTGATTAACAAGAATATCCTGAGACGGGGAAATGCAAAATCTGACCCTGAAACTTGAACGTACATTGGAATAGCATACGATACATTCTAAAGGCTATGTAAAATATTAAAAACGTAAAAATTAAGTAAGAAACGAATATACAAATATAAATATTAAAAATAAATAGTAAAAATAAATAAATAATAATAATATTAATGATAAATATTAAAAATAAAATTAAACATTTTTGATTAACAAGAATATCCCTAGATGGGAAATGCAAAATCTGACCCTGAAATCCAAACGTACATTAGAATGGCATATGCGATACCTCCTAAAGGTTTAGTATTAAAAAACATAATAATTACGTTAGAAACGAAGAAAAGTCTGTTGAACCATTATGTAATATCTGTCCTCTTCAGAGATGAATACGGGACTTGAAGCAACAAAAATCTGGTCTCTCAGAAGTGCGGTGAGAATACCCTGGGTGGAAAATTTGAGTAAAGAGTAAGTTTTAAGGAATGTAGAAACAAAAAGGACGCTTATAATCAGAATAAAAAAAAGAGGCAGTTTAATTTTTTAGAACGGATAATGAGAAAAGCGGCTTGGAGAATTTGAAACTCACATGACATATTGAAGGCACGAGGGAAAACAAGTCTGTGTAAATAGATTCCAGAACAGGGACTGCGAGGGATGGTGAGAAAACAAAACTTACTAAGAACTAAATAGAATAGGAAATTGTGGTGAACCATATCTGTCCACTTCCTAAAGGACACGGTATGTAAAATACGTACTATAAACTTTTTTCACGGTATGTGTCAATGGGTTTATAATTGATATGGCTTCACCTTTGTCCGATGTTGAGATACTTTAATTCGGGAAGATGCGCATATATGAGAATTAGGAAGAATGTATTCTTTTATGGTTTCTGGGGTGAATTTTCTTCATATCCCAGGGCCTATTATGAAGATTCACGATGATAAAGAAAGCAATAGATATAACTTTATTTATTTTGTAATCGAACAGTTCATTTTTTTGGAAATGAAAGACGTATAACCTATTGTAAGTAGTGAATACATCCGGGTCATTTTCTTTGTTATAGAATCTATAAGAATCGAATATACACTCAAGGATTTAGAATTGATGATACAATTAACGATTTCTGCATATAGATTCAGAAATCGAGTAATCGATATGTATACACAGATACATGGGAGATTATAGAACCCGGAATTTGATTGAATGCTTAAATATTACGTGATATTACTTTTGATCCGTAAGTTCAATCCACGATAAAAAGAGTGAATCTTAGAGTGTGGAAGAAATCTGAATGCTCTTTTAAAAGAAAGAAATAGAAATCAAATCCAGTCTTGAAGATAAAAAGTAATAACATGTTGCTTTAAGACGTAGACATTCATGACTCTCTACAGAGTTTTCATAATCTGTAAATTGTCATTTTGTTATAAAGGATAAAGTGTCGCTGCCGACACTTGAGTTTGAACGTAGATGACCAGTGAGCAAACACAGGCGATCCCATTATTGAATTAAGTAGAACACGCGACCATAGAGGAAACGCATATATGTATGGAAGGTAGCGTGATCTCCATTTCTAGTCTATCCTCTATTAAATATAGACCGCTATTCTCTACTCTATTCACTATACTATTTCTCTACTCGGATCACTACACGGGTTACTATTCGAGCGAGTATTATCGAGCAAGTGATATTTGAAGGCGTCTGACACCAGCATTGTTCAACGGCGTTACAATAGTTGTATCTGCGATTATAAAATCTCTACTAGAACGAGTATTACGAAAGTAATAACGAGTATTCGTTGACATCACAAACGTGGCAACGAGTGTTCGTTGACATCGTAAAACATTTATTGTTTGGAAAGATAATGTAGTGGTTTATTGCTGCCTTTTCCACGCTTTGGAATTTTGCGTTCTAGCGAGATCAATCTACCTTGCTATTTATATAGGTGGGAAGAGGAAACTTATTTATTAATTTTTATCTGGTAAATTTTCAAAGGAGAACGCAACAAACTATGTGGAGATTTGAACACGAATCGCTGATACTATTTTCCGTTTTTACCAGTTAACATCCCCTTAGAGATTATTTGACAAAATCTTTGAGAGCGTCGTATTTGTAAATCTAGTCCTGATGGTACAATGGAGAAGTAAATGAATTATTCTCTTAGAGATTTATTGATCTCTTTTTTTCTTTTTCGTATATGTAGAAATTGTAAATCCGGGCACAGATAAAAAGTTGATTGTAGAATAGAGAAGGGAATTAATTCTGCTCTTAATGATTGCATGATATTATACTGAATATGAAGTAATCACAATTCCAGGCTGAGATAAATAAAAAAAGAAAATTAAAATTAGATAGATGCTTACCAGGCATTTCTTCGTTAAGTTGCTTAAGCTTCTTGGCATTAATGTCTGTTGCGTACACCGAAGCTCCTTCCGCCCAAAATTTCTTCGGAATAGAAAAAAAAAGAGGCAAAAATGCAATAACTAAAACAGAGGTGGTATTTCTGATCAGGGTTAATGATCAATTAAAAAACAAAACAAAAACAAAAACAAAAACAAAACAAAGCAAAACAATGTATCCATAAACATACAGACATGCACTGTTTGGCCTCACTCTCTTCCCAAAACCAATATTTCAGTCAGTATTTCAAATAACTGATTTAGGTAAATAGATCGGACTAAGAACTTTTAAGCACCTCCTCAGAGTAAAATTTCCGCACAATTTTAGGTGACAAAGCTCTTATTCTGTTTTGTAAATTTTTTCTATTTTTTAGCCATTAAAATATTGTTTCTTTTGTATTGAATCTATGATAAAATTAGATGCCTGCAGGTACATTACTTTTCTTCACTCTATAAGTCATTTTAAAAGAAAACTTTACAAGGTGACCTTGTAGAGGATGCATAGCTAGCCATGCATGTGCGTGGGTAGATTTCAACACTTTAATACATAATGGCTGGCTAATTTCATTTTCCAAGTTCACCGAGCTGCTCAGGACGCTAGCCAATCTCTGTAACAGATACATGCTCAGGCATATTTGTATTTGTCCAACGCCCACAAAGCCCACTTGTAGTTTATACTAAAACTATGCTGAGCAGTCCTTATTTAGTTTCTGGGAGAGAATGCATAATCTGTCATGATCAACAGTTTTAACAACGTCAGTCCGCTTATCACCTCAATTACGATCGCTTGTGGTTTTGTGCTAGCACACCCATCAACAACTTCTGTACAATTCTGTCTACTCAGTTCCACTCACACGGTTTGAGCCAACCTGTGGTGTAGTTTTCAGGCATTTTCTAATGGTGCAGCGCACTGGGATCATTACCCCAGACTGCTAACATCAAGAAGTCAGCTTTCTAAGATATCAACCATGGTATGTGTGTGTGTGTGTGTGTACATAATGTGATGTTCAAAAGTTGAGAGAATATCGAATCAAGCGCAGATATTTGTGACTATCCTTTGTGAGCAGCACTTTGAGAGATCATTATAAACAGGAGTCAATCAATAAGTTATTAGTTCTAGTTTGGTCTGAAAATTTCACTGTATAATATATCATTTCACCCCAAGCAAGGCAATAAAACCACTAAAACACGAGAAGCTACTGAGTAGAAAATAATAAGAAAAGAAGAAAAACATAAAGAATTATAGAACAATAAAATAATAGGAATTAAGATAAAAGATAACAATTAACATTTAAATTTACATTTGTAAAGATAAATGTTGACTGGGATGCAAGAAGTCGAAAACAAATTACACAACAGAGAAGAAACTGTTGGCTTAGAACTTACGGTTACATCTAATCATTTTACCTGTAAATTGGCAAGATCGTGTAAGTATCAGGGTCTTATTATTATTTCAAGTTTCTAGAGACATGGGGAATATTCGTTTAAACCGGAATTGACACCATGAAAAGTACAACTGAATACATCGTGGTCATTTATAAAAGAACCTGACACGACAAAATGGAAACAAATCCAGTGTAAGGCATTTCCTCCTTCAAAAGAACTTTACACTACCTGATTTAATGATGAAATCTACACATGGCAGAGCGTGGGGAAAATACAAACAAACGATGCTTATGGTTAAGCATCGAGAGAAACGCTGACGAGTAAAGTTTAACGTACCAAATTTTGATTTTATTTTTTATCAATTTGTCGTTATTTTATTAAGGTGAAAATGCTTAGAAAGTGCACTGATTTCTGAGTTTTTACGGTAATTGTACGTTAAAGTCCATACAGCATTTCACCTTTCTTAAGAAGGCAGTTACTATTGCAATAAGCGATTTTTGAAAACAACAGCTGGCGCAGTATTATAAAGGATTTCATCCATTTTGTAACACAATTAACCATTTTTCGCTTAACATACAGAATATATATATGTCAGATTAAACCAGAATATGGTATGGGTGACGCTTTGAGGGCTGAAATATCTCATTTTGAATTTCTCAAATATTCCGGCATAAGCCAAGAATTTGTGTTGGCTAATAATTTTCAAACTGGTGGACGGTGTATTGAATGTTAATTGGGACTGACAGGACAAGGAATTTACTAAAATTTTATGCAATATCAAACTTTCTCTATGACATTGAATGCTACTTACAGATGGAGAAGAAATTTAAGGCAACAGAAATGTGTTTCTACAGAAGGGTACTGAGAATTCAATGAACTGTACATGGGAGTAACTATGAAGATTTAGTGAAATTAGAAACAAAAAGGACACTTATACTTAGAATCTGAAAGAGCTTAAATTTTTAGAAAGCATAATTGGGAAAGAGAGGATTTGACACAGACAGGGAATATTGATTGCAGTAGGGACATATATAAACATCAAATTACTTCACGAGCTGGCTAGTATATTACTAATAGCTACAAAAGATAGCAAACTGTGAAGAATCTTGATCACCCACGTTCTTTACGGACCCAGTGCACAGACGAAAAAGAAAATTTATTACAGTTCAGGCTGAAAGGAAAGAAGAGCCACAGTCACCAGGCGAGAGAGAAAACCAACGAGGGCGAAGGAAGAATTCAACTGACGTAAAGAGGAGCCGAAGATCTCAATAGAAAAAAAAGGTTACCAGCGATGGCAAGGGAAGACTTCAAAGGAGAGAAAGATCAGACACATACATCAATAGAGAAAGGATGGTAAAGGACGCATTTAAAGGAGAGAAAGAAAAGAGGCATCAACGGATGATGACAACGGAAGTATTCATAGTAGAGTGAGAAGAGGTACAGATATCGATGCAGAAAGGATACCAGAAAGTGAAGAATTCAAAGGAGAGAAGCTAAAGTTACAGATATTAATGGGTAAAGGATATTTACGATTGCAAGGGAATATTTCAAAGGAGAAAATGACAAGCTGCAGGCTTCAATGGAGAAATGATACCAGTGATGGGAAGAGAAGAATTTAAAGGAAAGGAATAAGTATAACCATCAGCAATGGAAACGATATACCAGCAAAGACAAGGAAAAAATTCAAAGGAAAGAAAGTAGAAGCACAGACATCAATTGGGAAAGGAAGGGAAGAATTAAAAGCAGAGAAAGAAGAGTGACAGGCATCAACGGAGAATGATGGTAATGATGACAACGGAAGTATTCATAGTAGAGTGAGAAGAGGCACATATATTGATACAGAAAGGATACCAGAGATAGCAAGAGAAGAATTCAAAGGAAAGAAAGAACAGCCTCAGACATCAATGGAAAAGAGATGCCAACGAGGTCAAGGTAAGAATTCAACGGACGGAAAGAAGAGCTATAGATATCAATGGGGAAATAATACTGGCGAATCATGTGAAGAATTCAAAAGGTTAGAGATAGAGAGAGCGTGAGTGAGAGACTGACAGAGAGTGAGTGAGTGAGTGAGTGTAAATTAAAATTGTGAATTACAGTCTGTCAAGAGAGAGAGAGAGAGAGAGAGAGAGAGAGAGAGAGAGAGAGAGAGAAGAAGTATTGCCTCATTTCAGGGGAAGTATTGTTCCAACTAAATGTTTTCTTTTGATGTTGGAAAAAACATGTTAGTCAGAGGGGGGTGCATATCAGAGAAATAGGGTGAGGATCCAGCACTGAGAACAAACCTTGTGTCTGGTCTGAGCTGAAACGCCCAATAGATATCCCTAGAAACAAGAAATTTCTAATTCAGTAGATTAAACAGTTTCAGTTCGAAATTATCTGAAATTTAAGCGTAGTACTAGATTGGTACATAGGTCTCATCGTTTTACTGTTGAACTTGCTCAGTATAACCGCAAGTTCTATTCTAATAGTTTCTTCTCTCGTACTTCTCGACTGTGAAATCACTTCCAGCTTCTCGCTTTCCTTTCAATTAGAATCTATAATTAAATTACATGCAACGTTAATGGTTATCTTCTGTGTCATTGCTGTTCCTTTTATTTTTCATTTTCTTCAATAAAGTTTACACCGTTTCTCTTACTCTCAGTACCCTTTTTCCGTCTTAGTAGCTTTATCGCCTTGAGGATAGAGGACACAATGTCTGAAACTCGTGATAGAAACAACTAAGATATAAATAAATAAACAGGACAGTTTGCTGAGTTTTTATTTATTGTTTACGGAGAAAATGTAGAACTTTTCTCAGTTAATGTAGTTAGATATAATTTTACGATTGTTCCGCTTCTATTGTAACCGATTGAATGTCTTCCCCAGCATGTAAATATGATCCCTGAGTTGCTTCATTTATCTCATTATTCAGACTTAGAAATAATTCCTCTCAGTGACATTCCTGACAGTGAGGCTCTTCATCACATTAATTATGTTCTTTGACAGGGATGAGTCGCTTAGGAGGTGAGATTATGACAAGGAAACGTGTTATTAGCATGTATTGTAGTTTTAAAATTTCAAGGGGAAAATTGAAATTTCAAGGAATATTTGTCGAGAGGACAGATAAAGACATCTAACTGGGCAGCTCAAAGCATATGTTTTTGATTCCGTTCAACGGAAAATTGAGTTATTTTTAGTTTGATGTATGAATTCAGCTCGATTTTGAGGATACAGAGACGGGTTGGGATCGTCAGACACACACACACGCAGTTGCACACCTGCACGAATCCACCTGAATTTCTTATTGAACCTTGTCGAACATATTGATCGAGATTCCAAATCTTCGCCTCCTCATTTTTTTGTATTAATAGATGCCAAATATATCCTATTATAAATTATATATACACCTTCCTTAAATCGTCTGTATTTAACCAAAACTGGCATTATTATTTTTTTCGGTGAGTGCTTAACTTTATTTCCAGTCAGCCCAGTCGTCAACAAGTTTTCCACGGCTTATTGACTAAAAGAAGAAAGACAACTTTCTTCGTCAGTAAGAATCACAGCATTTGAAGAACCAAGACTGGACGATCGACGACTTATATTGGCACCAACCCCTAAACCATTTTGGAAGTTGTATAATTCTCCTTATCCAATAGCTGTGCGAGAATTGAGATATGGGAACAAGCCGGATACGACCTGAGCGGCTGCACATCGACAGAAACCGAGAAGACGTATACAGAAAGAGAGTGCGGTTATAATATTCTCAAGTGGTTATGCTCATGGTAGAGTACGACATGAGCGAAGCTACATATCGACAGAAAATGAGACGAGACCAATGGAACCTAGAAGACGTGTACACGAAAAGAGGGTGTTATAATATTCCTAATTGGATATGGTCATGCAAATTTTAATCATTGGCTGAGAGAGAAGCACGTAAACAAAATTGACAATATACGAAGATATGACAATCATGACATTCACAGATAAGGGTACTCCCCGGCACATCCATTGCAGCCAGACGTAGCGTAACATATGGAAAGTTTGTGCTAAAACAACGCATGTTGGACCAAGCTAAGAAATAACCATAGGACGAGTTATCTAGTCCGTTCAGATGGTCTACGGCCTGGGGGGTTCGCAACTATCTAGACGTGGAAGCCAAGTTGCCTCGTATACCTTATACTTTAAATTCAAAATTAAAAAAAATCTCTCTACACCCGCTGATGTTTCTCCTTTACCACTCCTAGTTATGTACTGAGATGCACAACGTGTAAGCCCGTAGAGATGCACAATGCGTAAGCCCGTAAAGATGCACAACGTTTAAGCCCGTAGAGATGCACAATGTGTAAGCCCGTAGAGATGCACAACGTGTAAGCCCGTAGAGATGCACAATGTGTAGGCCCGTAGAGATGCACAATGTGTAGGCCCGTAGAGATGCACAACGTTTAAGCCCGTAGAGATGCACAATGTGTAGGCCCGTAGAGATGCACAACGTGTAGGCCCGTAGAGATGCACAACGTGTAAGCCCGTAGAGATGAACAACGTGTAAGCCCGTAGAGATGCACAACATTTAAGCCCGTAGAGATGCACAATGTGTAAGCCCGTAGAGATGCACAACGTGTAAGGCCGTAGCGATGTACAACGTGTAAGCCCGTAGAGGGATATCCACAATTAGTTATTATCAGGCAACTGGGAAGCAATTCGTTACCGATATGAATATTGACTATTGTCCATCATATTTCACCAATTTATCTTAATTTAAATGCCTAATAACACCTCCATACAGTTAAGATCAAAAGCCATGCTTTGTATAGCAACAGAGGTCAGTGTACATTTTATGTTTTTCAGTTTCTTTGAGCTTGTGATCATGTTCATGAGGAACAGCTACACTGTTGGGAAAGCATTTTCCTTTTGTTTTTCCTTTTTCTTTTTCAACAACATTGTCTTGTTTGGTCGCCTCATGGATGTTGAAATCTCATTTCCTCTTCTTTATACTTATTCGTCTTCTTCTTCTTCTTCTTATTATTATTATTGATTATTTTTAATTAGCAGGATGAATTTTGATGTGATCTGATGATACATTTATGGTGGGTGAGAATATCGTTTAAAAGTCACTTTTAACCGTTACGTAAAAAGGAGTGTGACTCACCCTTACTGTGGCTTCCCCGATCCCTTGAGCTGCAGCAGTTACGATGGCAACCTTTCCACCGAGACGCCCCATTTTCAACGCGAACAGCCGGAAGTCGGTTCAGAAAAAGTATGGATGTTTACAAAATTAACTAAAATGATTTTCTTTATCTGCAGAAAAGAAGAAATAAAACAGAAGTTAGTGGAATTTTGTAATAACAAGAAAAGAACAAGTACAATCAAATATCTCGTTTGATATCTTACATGATATCTCGCTTGATATCTCGTTTGATATCTTACATGATATCTTACATTATTCGGACTATAGTCCTCATCTTTGTCGCTAATATAAACATAACCATTAGAGATTAAGTGATCAGATACTACGCTTGGATCATAGCCCGATGATCATGTTATGTCGAATGTTTCCTTATAAGGGAACGGCTAATATAAACATAACCATTAGAGATTAAGTGATCAGATACTACGCTTTGATCATAGCCCGATGCTCATGCAATGGCGAATGTTTCCTTATAAGGGAACGGCTAATATAAACATAACCATTAGAGATTAAGTGATCAGATACTACGCTTTGATCACAGCCCGATGGTCATGCAATGTCGAATGTTTCCTTATAAGGGAACGGCAAATATAAACATAACCATTAGAGATTAAGTGATCAGATACTACGCTTTGATCATAGCCCGATGCTCATGCAATGGCGAATGTTTCCTTATAAGGGAACGGCTAATATAAACATAACCATTGGAGATTAAGTGATCAGATACTACGCTTTGATCACAGCCCGATGGTCATGGAATGTCGAATGTTTCCTTATAAGGGAACGGCTAATATAAACATAACCATTAGAGATTAAGTGATCAGATACTACGCTTTGATCACAGCCCGATGGTCATGGAATGTCGAACGTTTCCTTATAAGGGAACGGATAATATAAACATAACCATTAGAGATTAAGTGATCAGATAAAACGCTTTGATCACAGCCCGATGGTCATGGAATGTCGAATGTTTCCTTATAAGGGAACGGTTAATATAAACATAACCATTAGAGATTAAGTGATCAGATACTACGCTTTGATCACAGCCCGATGGTCATGGAATGTCGAATGTTTCCTTATAAGGGAACGGCTAATATAAACATAACCATTAGAGATTAAGTGATCAGATACTACGCTTTGATCACAGCCCGATGGTCATGGAATGTCGAATGTTTCCTTATAAGGGAACGGTTAATATAAACATAACCATTAGAGATTAAGTGATCAGATACTACGCTTTGATCACAGCCCGATGGTCATGCAATGTCGAATGTTTCCTTATAAGGGAACGGCTAATTACTATACTTCTAGAATATTTACTTTCTGACCAAAGAACAGAGATAAGTGTTATTTTTTTTTAGATATTCCTGTGAATTTCATTTCCTTTTCAGAATTAGATTATTCTAGAACTCGGAGTGAGATGGTAAAGCGAAATAGCAATAGCTTCTGAATACGGGGAACGAATGTAAGTCTGCAAACCAAACTGTGAAAATGTTTGTCTAATTATCAAAGAAACATGTAGTACAGTTGTGTCTTGATGGAAAATTATTTTGTCTTTCTTAAAGAATTCCTAAATATTTTGGTCAGGTGATGCCTTTCATTGGTAGCAGTACTTTTCGAATCAATCTTTTGGGGTTTCGGAATGCTTTCATCTTTGTCATTTTATTTTTGAGGATCAGATCTGCAAATGTTATTCTCTGTATATATTTAAAATATTATTCTCTGGGTATACCTATAAATATTTCATGTCATTCTTCTTGTTTTTGTTGTTGTTCTTCTTCTTCTTGATCTTCTTTTCTTCTTCTTCTTCTTCTTCTTATTATTATTATTATTCTTTTTCTTCTCATTATTATTATTATTGCAGATTAAGACGTATTTCTTGACAGGACGGATTGACCCAAATCTCGTGGGTGAAATTGGGTAGACAGTGCTTGTGTTAGCATGCAGTCACAAGTCAACGAGTATCTGAGCGCACTGACGTTGTTCAAACTACTGTCCGTGCCAGATTATGCGTGCTCTCTCAGAAACTGTAACTAAGGTCATCTCAGCATAAATGCAGTATAAAACTCAGGTGACCTTTGTGGATGTTGAAGAAGCAAAAAGGAGCCTGTACAGACAGAATTGTCTCGATGCACTAGAAAAAGGTGTTCTCAGAAAAACGAGCATTGTTTCATTACACACACACACACACACACACACACACACACACACATATATATATATATATATATATATATATATATATATATGTATATATAATGAAAGGATATATGCATTGTGACATATACATCCGCTCACATGTAGACTCATTTTCTGTTTATCATATACTAACGTAATTAATTCAGTTGTACTGTAAAAAGAATACACGAAACATTTTGTGTGAAGTTGTTCGGAAAGTATCTTTGTAATTCTTGTCTGAGTCCATCCTTCAAATCTATAAATCAACCATCCGTCCTTGTATGGAATATCGCTGTCATATAAGGTCTGGCACTCCCTCTGTACGTCTCAAGGTCCTTGACAAAATCCAGAGACGAATATGCATGATGATAGGTCCTGATCTGGCATCTAGTCTACAATCGCTATCCCACAGACGTGTCGTAGCCTACCTTTGTATCTTCTACAAATATTTTCACGGCAACTGTTCTGACGAGCTACTTTCGCTGGTTCCCAGACTACATGAATTTAAGCGAGATACCAGGCTGGCATCTTGGTCCCACACTTTCACTGTCAAAACGTTTAAATGTAACCATCTCTTCTACTCAAACAGGTTATTCTGCGGCACTTTCTGTCTGTGGAACTCCCTCCCCTTTACTTGCTTCTACACAACTATAATCTTCAAATATTCAAGTGTAATGTTAATCGATAACTGACACCTTGAACTTGTTCTCCGTCCATCTCCTTATTCTTTCCTCAAACACGCTTCTTTACACTTGTTCTTAATCCTATGTAACCCCTGGCGTGCTAGTAGCACTCCCGTCTTGCCTGGAGTGAATTGCCTTTAAAAAAAATTAATTTCTTTTAATTTGAAAGAAAAATAATACTCAAATAAATAAAATTATTTAAAGTTGTAGATGCATGTTTGTAGATTATTATTTCTTCATTTATATACGCATATTTTATATATATATATATATATATATATATATATATATATATATATATATATATATATATATATATATATTAATTCTTTATATATTTTTGAGAAAAAAGAATATGCTCCCCGGGAGGGAGTGGTCCTGCATCCTCAATTGTAGGAGGAACACCCTTTTAAGCAGGTGTGTTTTATCATTCAGCTCGATGTCACCTTTCAGCTACGTTGTATTATTTTCCATTTTAAGGAAAGTACACGCCCACATTCAAATATTTTTCAAAACGCCCATATCTATTCAGATTCGCATCTCTGAAACGTAACAAATATTTCTTAAGAATTAATGGATATATTTTTAATCCGGTAATTCCTTCAAACGCTATTATTGTGGATAGTTTTATTGGAAATAGATGATAATTATATTCTTGGATTTCGTATGTAAATTCTATTATATGTTTGACTTTGTTTAGTTGATCTACTAGGTCACGTAAATCAGTATCACGAAGATATATAAGTACAGCATTATCAATATAACGGAAGTATGTTGATTGTTTGAAGTAAAATACATTGGAAAGGAACAGATTCGAGAAATTCTAATAAGATACATGCCATCACTCCATTATGAGATGATCCCAATGGTAATCGAAATTTTTGTTTGTAAAAGTCATTATTAAATGTGAAATAGCATTGAACAGCTGATCAGTGTAGCCAGGCATCTGGTTGCTTCAAGTCGGGATCGAAACCCTACTGTTCTGGCATCAGACGGAGATCTTACCTCCTATGCTATCAGCGCGAGGAAAGGAAATTCTAGCGTATTGTATACGAATGTAAACAAAAGCTACTAGCCAACAGTGTTCAATTTATTATTGAAGAGCGGTGCGTTAATGGAGAAGATCCAGGAAAAAGTTTTAAAGAAAATAAAAATAACATTTAGAATAATAGAAAAAGCAGTTGAATTTTCTGCGAGGCATAATGAAGAAAAAAGAGGGGGAACATTTGATAATAACAAGGCGTATTGAAACAAGAGGGACATGGTAAAACAGCAAGTTACCTGCTTAAATATTTGTTATTCTTATCGATCATTGTAAACTTAATAAATATATAAAAAAACATGAAATTTATTTTATTTATACAGTGACCTTAAATATAACAATGTAAAAATATCAAGAGACAATATAAAGGCTTCTTGATCATATTGAAAATAGGTTTTAGAAAAAGATAAAATAGAAACTTACTTGAGTATATCAGCTGATTTCATTATATGCTTCTTCCAGAGAAGACTGAATAAATGATTTTAGTTTTAATGATAGTAAGGGGAATTCAATTAGACTTTACTAGAATGAGGTCACACAAATTTTCTATATCACATGTAAACCTGATATTCCAAAGATAACAAAAGATAAAAAAATGCCATATATAAACAGAGTTGAACATTTTTTTATTCATGAACATTGGAATTAAAATGCTATCTGTAAAAATGCTGTTTTACTTAAATCTCGTCAATACAACAATATACGCAGACTGGCCGACATCAGAACGAATTATTAAATAAATTAAATCACCGATATATATATTATGGCTATTTAAACCACTTGCCTTACATGGCATAAAACTCCAATTCTGAGATCTTCAAGTATGGAATGTGACTTTGGTGATAGGCTCTCCACAACCTCCTATCATTTGTAACTTTAAGAAATACAATGTTTAGCTTTTACTACCCACACCCATTCTTGGTTACACAAGTTCGTTAGATAGGTTACACGCTATTTCTCTCTGTCTCTCTTGAATTTAGTATATCCTGTGAGTGTTAAAATCTCTGAGTTGTCTTTCCTTATCATGTATCGTAACATTTTCACTGTCTCTTTTCAGTTTATATTTTCCTTAAATCTTCCTTAATGCTCACATGTTCCGTCCTTGGAATTCTCAGCATTCATAAGTAAAA